CTCATGTCCTACCGTCTCAACACAGCAGTAAAACCACTCATCTGGGTCGAAGCAGTGGTGGAATCACATTCCGGTACACGAATAGAATACATGCTCAAAGCCCGGGCACAGTTTAAACGTCGCAGCACTGCAAACAACGTCGAGATCATCATCCCCGTACCCGACGACGCAGACACCCCTCGTTTCCGCACGAACATCGGCTCAGTACATTACGCTCCAGAAAAATCCGCCATTGTCTGGAAAATCAAACAATTCGGTGGTGGCAAGGAATTCCTCATGCGTGCTGGGCTTGGTCTGCCGTCCGTCAAAGGCGACGACGAACGTGGCGGCGGCATGACAGGTGGATTTGGAGGAAGTATGGGTGGGATAGCTGGTGAAGGTAAGGCTAAGAGACCGATTAACGTCAAGTTCGAGATTCCGTACTTCACGACCAGTGGAATTCAGGTGAGGTATTTAAAAATCATTGAGCCCAAGTTGCAGTATCCCAGTTTACCCTGGGTGAGATATATTACGCAGAGTGGAGATATTGCGGTGAGGCTACCGGATGTGCAGAGCTAAAAGGAATGCGATCAAGAGCAATTCAGACAGTAAAAGCACGAATCTGTGTACAGCGGTTCGATAAGCAGGCGTCTGTCGAGCAAGACGCAGCGCGCAAGAGCACTCTACTGTATTCGTCCGAGAGCCCAGCACTACACGAATACGAAGTGCGCGACAGCATTACCAGATATGCATCTGGATCGAAAGCAGACTACTAGACGACCGAAACAAAGATCGCCCATGTCGAGAACCGGGTGGTCTAGTCATTGCACTGCACGCCTTATTTAACGGTTGGGTGAGTGGTCCGGAAAACAACGATTCTCTCTCACAATGCGGCGAGCTGCTGCGAAGTCAATCTGGCTTTGGTACATGACGAAAGGCCACAAGTACACTCCAACAAGAGGAGAGCCAGCAGAAGGAGAATATCCCCGTCACGCTGTGGCCAGGCTGCCTCAAGGACACTTAATACAGAGACTCTATCTATGCTTGACAGGAGGGGTAGAGGTAGAGGTGGACACGGGGCCAATCAGACACTGCAGATCACGGATATCAGTGCACGGGATACGCACGAGGAAGGAGGATCGGAGACGTGCGTGAGCGATGAAGCAAGTGATGAAGCAGAAAGATAGAGACACTTACTTCTTTCTAAGATTGGGAAAAATAGCGATCTTTCTGATGTGAATTCGCGTTGCTAATCTGCCTTGACCGCAACGTGCAAGGCATGCGTGTATACAACAGCTCGAAAAACAAATTGCTGGATCGAAGCAGAGCATGAATTGAGCGTCAGCTCTTGATATTCAAGTTTGCTCTCCTGGCGCTCGTTCATAGGACTATTTAGGAGCCCTTGCCTGGACCCCTCGCTCAAAGCCAAAAGAACATAACAAACAGCCCTCTTAGTCATGCCCGTTTATGTATTCGTGTTATCTTCGTTCTCATTCGCAATGAGCTGCGCACAGTAGTGTGCCTCGATCCAATCTCATCTATTGACGTTTGCGATTGTGTGCTTGAAGCTTGTGGATCTTATCTGGTCCAGGTCACCGCTTCAGACGATCCGCCAATCCACTGCCCTGTGTATCGGACGCTTCATGAGTTATGCGTGGAAAACCAACTGCTCGGGCTGAACAAACATGATTGAGTCATCCTAGATCAACCATCTCGAACCCAGTAAAAGTAACCCGAAGTCGCATGTCTTTCCCAATGACCAGGACTAACATCTCCGTTTAGGATATCAGAGTGTGTTCTCAAAGTCCAACTTCCATCTTTCTCCTTGCACCAGAACTGTTGACCATCAGCCGGCTTGTATGGCGCGAGCTGAGTTGGCGGTGGCTTAGGAAAGCCCATCTGAGCGACTAGGTAGGCCTGTTGAGCCGCAAAGTCTGCAGGGCCACCACCAACGAAGTAGTTGGGACCCTGAGGCATGGCTGCGAGACTGGCGTTTGTGGCAGCGGCCATTGCAGCTTGAGCTGTCATGGCGCCGGGGCAGCTTGTCGTTGGGAGAATTGAGGGTCCACCGGGAACTAGATATGACATGTATGAGTATGGGTTTTGGTTCGGTTGGAGCGAAAGAAAATTCTTGTAGTATTGAGCGTAGAAATTGGGTTTCTGATAGTAGTTTGGGTAGGATGGGTAGGAGTATGCCTGTTGAGGCCAGGCGTTGTACTGATAGGTAGAGGTAGAGGGCTGATAGTAATAGTAAGGAGAGTTGTAACTCGTACCGGTCGGGGCTGGCATGCCGTAGTACTGACCATTGGCCCAAGCGGCAGCATAGCCAGGGTAGCCATAGCCGTATGGATATTGCGGTTGTGGTTGCTGCCACGATTCAGCAGAGTCATCGATAAATGGTTGGTTTTCAGACTTACCTGAGCACCATAGTACTGATTGTAGTACCAAGCAGCGGGGGCTTGGTTGGCTTGGTAGACTGGACCCGGTGGATGAATGCCCTGGGTTGTGTTCTGGTTAGAATTGTATCTATACGATTTTGGCCAGTCCGTTTTGGTCTCTATCTGGACTGCGTGTGGATGGTTCTCTGTCGCAGGGTATGGGTCCTTGTAAGTGTAGTAAGTTGGCGCAGCTCGAGCAGCTGGTGGAGTGGGTATTCCAATCGAGTATCGACGATAATCCATAACGTGCGCCATGATTCATGTGTTTGACTGATTGGGTTGAAGAAGATATCGATGGTCTGGTTGATAGAAGGGAAGAGGAAGTTGTAGGAAGAGAAGAAGTCGCGACCTGGTTTTTTGGCAAGTGGGGTGAAAGTGAAGGAGTCAGGTTGCAACGAACACTCCGAAGGTGAATGAATCACAACGTACCTTTCTGTAATCTGGATAGAAGTCTGTGTTCCCGTCGAGATAGATCGTCTCATCTTTGACAGGTGGTGCGTATAGTTTGACGGGTGCTGGCTGCTGCTGAGCCCAAGGCCAGGCGCTGCCACAAGCGAAACACATTGCAGCTGATTTGATCGAGTGGAGGAGGTCAGAAACAGTGTCTCGTATCATCAAAGAGATGGAGGTGTAGAACTAGTCAAAGGAAGGAAATGCGCAAGAAGATATCGCAGTTCTTCAAAATCCTGCAAGCTTTAAATACCAGGCAGATTCAAGTGTTGACCTGTTCCAGAAATCTAACAGATTCGAGCTTGTTGGTACTTTCACTGCGGTGTCACATGTGCCTCGATCGATTCCACCCACCGATCTCTCAGTATTAGTTGTGTCCTGCACTTTCTCTAACACCTCCTGTAGCTGTACTATCCACGTTAAAGAGCCAGGAATTGCCCAAACATGTAGACACTTCTTCTCAACCTCCTTCCGAATCCCCTTCTGCACTCAGACCGTTGCTCTACAATAAGCAGCCTAACTTACTCACATGGTTAAAGACGGAAACGATGTGTTGCGGTGGAGGTATGACAGCTGGTAGCTGTCTACTCTGCATCTTGAGTCAGTGAAATCGGCCTGGCTACGACCGAGCTTGTTTCGTTGTCGGGGCTTCGCTGACCTGCGATGATCCATACGAGGCTGCGATGCGAGTCAATTCCTACCAAGTTGATTGAGTGGATGAAGGCCACGAGTCGAAGCTATGGTGTTCAATTTTCATGATCAGACGCGTCGCGTCATTGAATATGACTGAGGACGAATGTGCCGATGATACGTGTCACCGTTGCAGTTCTTTCAGCTTGTGTGCTACAGTGGATATGATTGAGTGCTCGTTGATCTTGATGGCATACGAGAAGAAGGATAAATAAAGAGGAAATACAAATGAAGAGAACGGATGAGTCGATAGCCAGACTGTACCCCTGGAGTTCAAACAGCGAATAAAAATCCAGCGGAACCTGGAGTTCAAGAATTGACAAACCTGCTCTCCTGTTCATCCTCATGACATCCGTTTGAGTACAACGACTCGACACAATGACCGAAGTTGATCGGATATTATCGTGCTTGATCTTGCAACATGTATGATTTTAGGCTGCGAGTATGTTACCTAAAGGCGATGGTCCACTTACTTTGCTGCCTAAAGCGTCTTTCAGCCTCGAGTACCATAACTCTCCATACCGTTATCGCATCGATCAGCCGGCTCGAACCTGCTCGGTATGCTAGGAGCAGTGATACAGGAGGTTCCGAAGCAGTTTCATGCCAGTTGTGTCTTCTTAGCAATAGAGCGAGATGACTACCACTCCAAGCTTGGCAGATGAGCCATACACCCCACCACGTTGGACCATAGACCTTTCCCTCAATCCGAGAGATCGATATCGGGAGCTTGCAGAACACTACAAGGACCAACTCCAAGAGCTTACGGGTCTGTTCGACGAACTTCTGCACGATATAGCAGTCCCCTCGAAATGGATACCAACAGTAAATCGTGCATCGCGCCTACTGCTGCGAAGGTTGTATGAGAAGTCACAAACAGAAGAAATCCAAGGCATTTCAGAGGAAAGTGGAGTGCCAATGTATCTCTTGATTGCATTCAATGTCATTCTCGATCTGCTTATGGGATGCACATCAGGAGGGGTCAAGAGCCTGGAAAAGGGTCAGCTACTGTCAGCAGCGAAAATGCTGCACTTCAGAACGTTGGATTGGTCGATGGACCCGTTGAGACGAGTTGTGGTTCAGCTCGATTTCGTCAAGAGTAAGTCCACAGCGCCAGAGAGGGTCATAGCTACCAGTATCACCTACGTTGGCTTCACTGGAGTTCTGACAGGTGTCCGACCTGGACTGTCGATGTCGTTGAATTTCAGAGGTATACACGAAAACAGTACGAAGATGGCTCAATTCCGGTTCTACTTGCATCATCTGTTGGTCCTCCTTGGAAGACGTCCTTCGATCGCGACTCACCTCAGGAAATACTTAACCGGAGACCACGAAGCTGTTGAGGCGTCGTCACGGTCAAGATGGTCACGAATGAGTAATGCGAACCAGAATATGCAGGCCAGTCGACCATTACGCCTCGCCGAAATTCATGATGACTTGTGCAAGCACCACACCACAGCCGCATATCTCATATTCAGCGATGGCGATACCACAGTCTCAATCGATAAGGATTTCCAGACTGCCAAACCGAGACAGTCACAGAGCTTCATAGCGACCACCAACCATGACGTGCTGCAGCACGGCACAGAACAGAAGGAAAATGCGATACTGGCTGGTGACAATGCAGTAGCTGTGAGACGCGTCGCTGGGCTCGAGGAGTTCATTGACGAGAGTGAGGATCGCTTGAAGTGTATCGCCGATCGATGGAAGCGGCATCTTGCAAAACAGCGCAAAGAGGTATCGGAAAATGGCCATTTTGCTCAGGCCCAGGACTCTGCGCATGGCGCAACTCTGACCAGCCGGCAGGTCGTAAATTGGGTATCGAAGTATCCAACCACGAATGAGGCCACGCATTATGCAGCCGTGATGGACCCTAGAGCTGGTAGAGTGATATGGTGCCTGGCATATCCTGAGCCACCGAGCTAGCATCACGAAAGTGCTCAGCGCGATACTAGTCGCCACTGAGATGATTACCTATGCTCGACAGATTAGTATTACCTGTATCACCTCACTTTCACACAAAGGACCCATGTCACAACTACATGGCCGTTGAAGACCTTCTACTGAGAGCGAGCGAGGCAGCGTGTTTTTCAGCGACAAGCAAGACCGAGATTATCGTCTTGTAGAATTTGGTTGGTCCTATGCTCACTGCCGACTACTACTTGTCTGTGCTTACAGTGAGCTTCGGAATACCAGTATCACTGTATGAGATATGTTGCATAAGAATGATTTGAAACAGCGATCCTGAGACAGCAAGGTCCGCGAATACCGTTGCGGATACCAAAAAAAAAAAAAGCCCAAAGCTACAGCAACAGCAGCGTCAAGGGATCGTTTACGTGCGGTGGGATTTGCGGGCTTTAGAGACCAAGCTTGCTGTCTGACATTGTGAGCAAGCATCGCGAACGAGGCGCCACTTACTCGCATTCAATTCACGTGGCTTTTCATGCTTTCACGATCGTTTTGGTTCGCGCATTGAAAGCTCTTTCCGCACCACTACTGGCCGATTGTCGTGCTCTAACATCTTGGCACTAAGGACTTCGGCGAGTTTATTGTCTTGTTCTCGTCGTTGCCAAGTCTCGGACTTCTTCTGGAGTAGGTGGCGTGCGATCTGGTTGGACACAGACCACCTTGGCAAGAATCTTGCTGAAGTCTTATCAAGGTTTGGCATTCAGGTACAGCACGCACATGGACCACAACCATATCCAGGTGGTTAGGCGCAGGTGCAATCATCGACGTCATTGAAAGTAAGAATCCATGGTAGTGCCGGAAGTCGCTTGCAGACAAAGGTACTATGCCTTGAAAAAGTCTGTAAGCACACATCTAGATTTAGTCACCTGTCATGTATTTACCGTGACTGTGACAGAGATATATGAAGTGCCTGTCGGATTTGGCCGAGCAAAATAAGCTGGTGGATATTAGGCGGCATGAAGCTCAGGTCTTAACCTGATCTTGCTTATCGTGGCGGTTATTCATTCCTGCATCGAAGTCACACTTGAAACGACTCAAGCACGTTGAAAGCTAGGACGACCTTTCGCTGAATGTTCTGAACAAATGCTGTATGAACGACTATACAAGTGGCGAAGTGAAGGACGCCAAGAATTAAGTGCTTGCGAACTGCGGCGTAGAGAAGCTTGGCCGATTATTTTTAGGGTCTTTTGGCTAAGATGGAAAAGCGCCACGGAGGGAACGACTCGAAGGAACGAATGAGATGTCAGAGAGCTTCCGGCCCGGTCTTGGCACTTCCAGTGCTGACGGGCTCTTCTCATACAGGCAGTTCCTGCTCACTTACGTTGTGCAGAAAAGAGGTGGGCGCGATCTTGCCTTGAGACAGCTACATGGCTTCTCAGGCAATGCCACCAAGCCATGCGCAGTATGAGAAGCATGGCCCACGACAACTATTTTGGGTAGGCAAGACAATATTTTTGGTGCAGCAGGAGGAAACTGGTTTGCGGCTAATATTCCTGTAGCGTGAGGACGCGGCCAAGGACCTGACGACCACAAATAAAGCTCACACTATACATGGACCTACCAAGTAACCCAGCCGCACTTTAGGTAATGATGTTGCGAACCAGATATTGCGAATCATTCTAGACCTGGATGAATGTTGTCAATGGCTGCGACCGCCACTCCGTACCTATAGCAGAGTAGATGTTAGTCACTATTTAACGTCTTTCGGATCCTGAAATTGACGCAAATGGAAGTTGGTGCTTCACATGCTGTCAGACCTGACCTCAATCTCGATCCTGATATTCCTACTGATCTTATGCAGATGAGAAGCTGGGCACGCAATGGAAGGCCTTGCTCGGGTTGAGCTGGTAGATAGAGCTTCAAGATGTCAAGCATGTGTGGACAAGGAAACGGCTAGCGCCGGTTGTGCCTGTTTAGCGACATCCAATTGTTGAAGGATCTGGTTCCGCAACCATTGTGCCGAGTTTTCAGCCACCATCCAGGGTGTCAGACAGATCGTCAGCATCTCAAATGCATCACGACTTCAATCTCTTAGATTTCCCATTTGGCAACCACGATGCTTTTGCCCTCGGCCTTTTTGGTTTTGGCTCTAGTCTCAGTGAAAATGGCACCACTACTGTGCATGAGTGGATTCACAATACCTTGAGCCTGTGGAGAACTAGGATGCTACATCTTACCTTCCAAAAATGTGTTTGTCCTAGTGACTTATGCTCCGCCCTCCACACCGAAGGGCTCAAATACCTGTAAGTGCATCCTTGAGTTCACGGCTTCGACATTCCGGTTCGTCACTGCAGACGTTTGTACTCGTGCATACATAAAAAGCCAGCCTTCGCTTTGCGTTCCTTGCAGGTTGCACATAACTCTCAATCTTGTCCTTCGTTCAACTTGCATTTGATCCCTCGCTGTACTACATTCTCTAGTCAGCCCCAACCACTTCTTTACATTTCGCCACTATGGTGAAGCTACTGTCACTCGCTGCTGCTGCCTTGAGCTTCTCAAGCGCTGTCGTTGCTGTTCCATCAAAATGGGGCGGCTCCTCGACAACATATTTCCCTGTCGTTGACAAATGGCTTAACCAGAAGTGCCCGGGCAAATATCAGCCATGCACAGAGCGCAACATCAAGGTCCGCAAGGACTTTGATTCAATGGCACCAGCTGAGAGAAAAGCATACACAGATGCCATCAACTGTCTGAGAGCCCAGCCATCGCAACTCGATCCTAAGGAGTACCCTAGTGCCATCAACCGATACTTCGATTATGCTGTCGTCCATGTCAACAAGACACGAGTCGTGCACTTGGACGGATTTTTCCTGATATGGCACAGAATGTTCCTGCATGTGTTTGAGGAGGACTTGAGAGATACTTGCGGTTATACAGGCGCATTCCCATACTGGAATTGGCCAGCGACTGCCGACAACCTTCGAGGTGCACCTATCTTCGACGGTTCCGAGTACTCGATGTCAGGTGACGGAAGATATACCAACAACGCTTCCGTTGTCCTTTCTCCCACTTTGTCAATCCCACATGGCAGCGGTGGTGGTTGCATCTTGTCTGGTCCTTTTAAGGGCATGAACAGAACCATGAATGTTGTCACCAACCAGTTCCTCCTCAATGGTACCCAACCACCACACAGCATTTACAACAAGAACGAGACATGCTTGACTCGCGATCTGAACACCTTTGCCGCCCAGACGTGGACCAACTACACTGCAGTTCAGGTTGCTGTTGAGTCGCCAAACCTCAAGGTTTTGGAGGATCGCCTCAACGGCGTCATTGGTGGTGGTTCGCTCGGTATCCATTCTGGTGCCCACTTCATTATGGGCGCTCCAGCCTCCAACATCTTCGTCTCTGCTCAAGATCCAATTTGGTATCCAATGCACACCATGTTGGACCGTGTTTACGCCAGCTGGCAAATCAGACACCCTGACATTGCCAACAGCGTTCATGGCACAATGACTGCTCAGAACTTGCCACCATCCGCCAATGTTACTTTGGATACCGTGATCCCAGATCAGGGTTACTTCAACATGGCACCATACACGATCGGCGAGCTGATCAGCACAACCGCTGGTCCTTTCTGCTACAAGTACGATCTGGCCATCTAGGTCTAATGTTTTGTTTTCTCAGCGCATGGATATGATTAATAGCTAATGAAAAATGCATGATCTTGTCTGATATATGGAATAGACAAATGATGGTCTTCGGAGTATGGGTGTGTATAGAGGTGGTCGTAACTACCCCGGTATCTCTACAAGACCATCGAAGTCTCAAAACTCATCCAATCATATACGTGGATTTATGAAAATCAAATCATCGCAGCCCACTTTCTACGTTTCTCGTTTTTCTGAGAGAAATCTTCTTACCATTTCAGAGTTGTTTTGCGTTGATAGAGATGCGAACTATACTAATTCCTGATTCTGAATTGACTTTGCGACAGTGCTGTCCCTGTTGATCAATCTGTTCAATTGACGTTCCTAGGATGATCACATGCTTTCTTCTGTTGAACAATACAATCACATCTGGTAGTGAAGATCCTTCGCATCGCAAGTTACTATTGCGCTATGTAGCAATCAGCCAATCTTGCCGATCCCTGTATAACTCGAAAGCGGCATTGTTTCAAGCAGGAGCCCGGAAAAAGGACTTCCTGCCAAGAATGCTAGTTCCTCTCAAGCTTTCCGGTCTACCTTACTGCAGCCATTGTCGTCAGCATCCCCAACTCTCCACTTCCTTGCTTTGTTTGTTGAGCATGAGCTTCGAAAGAGCTCTGCTGACTGCTTACCCGTACTCAATCAAGATTGAGCAGCCAGCCACAACTATGCACATGTATCGGACATTGCGAAAGTAAAACCATCCGTTGTGGATGGAATTCAGCAAGGGACAGCCCTGCTGCTGGTAATCAAAGCGATCGTCAATCTCAATCTCCCTATCATGGACCTCATGCAAGGTACGAAGCAAGATGGATTTTAGACTCAGACCTTCGAAACACAACTAGTAAGGATACACATGTCGTGGTGACGCAGGTCGTCCGTCTTTGAGTAGCACAACTCTTAAAGCACGCATCCTCCCGTCTACGCACACGTGCTTTGCATCTTGTGCAACCTGCTGTACTACTGGTCTTCGTGGTTTCATGAGCATGTCTCTACAGGGATGCTTGTCGAGGCATTGACCTTGTGTGAGTCTTACGGCTAATGTAACGGCCTGTCGCTGTCGCAAAGTAATTTCGCAGCATTTCCGTGTTGTGTAAAACTTATTAACCAGATTCCAGGAGACAATGCGCATGAAGGCTGTTTCAGCCAGCACCAGCGAGATTGTATTCTTGTCTCTTAGGTTCGAACTTCGCAGAGACAATCCGGTATGACAAAGTCGTCCCGTGTGTGCACGTGGGTCAATTCTATGCTCATCTTGTCGCTGCTGAACGGAAAACAGCATAATGGCGTTATCAGCGAGGAAGCCAATCGTGTAGGATCTGAGATAGACGTGACGACGTCCAAACTCGTAAGGCTCTCTAACATTTCACGAGCTGGAAGATGGAATTCTGTTACTGCTTACGTTGGCTTGATCATGTCCGGCACTCGACGCTGCAGACGCACACAAGGCTTTCGCTGATGTTCAACCGTGTAAAACGACGGCAATATTCCCACTCGTCGTCCTCCAAGCCCACCTGCACACCATCGTCCTCACGATTTCGATCAATTCGCTCAAGTCCGACTATACAAAGAGATATGCGGCTCCTAACGCTGCGACTCCCACCGCAAATTTCACTGGCGTCGCTACGCTGGCCTTCCCATCGCCTTCCTTTCCTTCTCTCTCACTCGCATGCTGATTGCCCACATACTCTCTCACAATCCACCCATCCACAAACCCAACCAGACTCCTAACCACCAACGTTATCCCAATACACTTCCTCACCACACTCGCAGCAAGCTCCGACGCACGACAAACACTCGAGAACACCAAAAATCCCGTCAAGACAATGTTCAGGAGACCATCCTTGATGTTGCGAATGCCATGAATGCGAACGTAAGCTAGATCTCTGGCGGTTAGGGTAGTTGAACGTAGATCGATACCGAAGCTCTTGGCGCCCAAGGCTGGATCGGTGAAATTGATGATTCCGCCTATTACACCTAAGAGGCCGAGAGCTGTAGAGAAGACTGGGAGAGCGTTGCGTAGTGTAGGGATATTAAGGCCTAGTGTGGAGCTTGTCATCGCTAGTTAGGTAGGAAGGTCGTAGTGTGCTTCAAGGCTGAGTCAATGTCGGGAGTCCTTGCTGTAGGCAGGTTCTTCATTTATGTCTGTGGTACACCTCTCAGAGTATCTGACCCGAGCAATACCTAGTGAAGCTGAGACAGTGGCATGATAACATGAGTGCTTGACCACAACAACTACCACCAGTCTTTCTCTGGACGCCTAATCTTTGAAAGTTAATTCGAGCTACGTTGCACATTGATGTACCTCTATATCCCCCTATCTGTTCTACGGTCGGTAGTAGCCGCTGAAAGCGCAGGTTCGACGAGGTCATTTCTAGGGTTTCGAAAACCCCCAGGAAACCCGAAATATTCCAACAACACCCAAGGATGGAGCGACGAGATGTCTCTCATTGTTAACATAATGGAAAGTGCACTTCATCGATCGCAGCATGTTCTAGTCATGCTTCAATCGCAAAAAAGTTGCAAAAATGCACCTTGACGAGGTAATCTCAAGGTCTCCAAGAAACTCAAGAAAACCCAGGAAAACCCGAGAAGTCTCCAGGCCCAAATGCCAGGAACATTTCACCACTAACAAGGCAGACAAGTGCATTGTGGAAGACCACACGATGTCCCAGCCATACCTCAACCACAGAAGAAGGCTGCAGGACTGAAAGAGGAGACGAGGTAATAAAAATGCAGTCACTAAGAGAAGGACGAGGAACATCTAGGGTTCCAAGGCAACCCAGGGAAACCCCAGGATCCCCAGGACCGAAGTGACAATAGATCTCAACCTTGTCGCGATGGATGGTGCAGTTTATAGATCGTAGCAGATCCAGGTCAGTGAATGTTTGTCTATGGGAACATATCACGATGCATGGCAGGAAGTGAAGGCGACTAGGTTGTCTTATCAGTGCTACGATACGACTAGCTACCATCCGACTCAACGTCCTTTAAATTGGAGCAAAACCCAGATGGGCTGTCAAAGACATGACCGAGACGACCATTTGCGGGGAAGATACGTATGGTCTGTCCTGGAGAGTCATTTTGCGTTGCCTTCTCCTTGAGCAGCGTCGACGACTGGCCATAACACAGTCATAACATGAATGAGATGAAATAGACAGGTCTTGATTGTCGTTGGGCTGCACTCATCATCATGTGTTTGCGATGAATCGGTAGAGCATCGTCAGGGAGTTTCTTTGTCCATTCCTGTTTGCAGATCGAGGGTGCGTTTGTCGTCGAGTCAAAACCATGAGATATATAGGAGAACAACGAACATCCAAAACTTTTCAAAGATCCTCATAATCCATCTGCCGATCTACCTCTTGAACCGCCAGAACTGAATTTCGAAGTCTGGATAGAAGGAAAGTCGTTTCATAAGCCACACGCGAGCGCAAATACTACATACCAAAGATGCGCTACCTCGCCAACCTCTTCGCCATCCAAGCCCTCCGTGCCGTGGCCGCTTTCGCTGATCCCGTGTCCCACCACCTCGCTGCCGAGACAGTAGACGCAGCAAACACAGCCGCCACATCCTTCGCAATCTCCGTCGCGTCTTCGGCAGACGACTTGACCAAGCGCGCCGCCGCTGACTGGCGATTGACATGCGACGGCACTGACATTGGACATGGTACGCACACTTGTGCAAAGACTCTGATCAATGGAAAATGGTGTCAGGACAACTGCAAATGTACTGCTGCTGGTGGTCTCGACTGTGCGAAGGCTAATGGTTGTGCCCATGAGTTGATTTATGGTATCTGCGAGATGGCGAGTAAAGATTGGAAATGTTGTTGCCGTAGGAAGGATAATGGAAGACCGGCGTCGTGGTGCGATTAGATCGTGAGCTTTCTAGGACAAGGAAGTGGAAGAAGTCCTGTTGGAGCCTGGTTGTTTGTCGAAATTGGTGCTAGACGTATCGATCCAGCACTTCAATGAGCTTGGTAGGAAGGCCTCAGAGATGGTAGCCGATGCTAGGGTATGATCCGATCCAATTAGATTGTGCTCACAAGTTACCAAGCCTAGAGCACAATGTCAATGGCAGAGTTTCTGCTTTAGTACTGGAGATATTATCAGAGCTGTCCAGTGTTGCTGCATTCAACAGTGGTCATCTTCTCCCATATGCTTGCTGATTGTTGTAGTTCTGTGGCGGTTGAGGAAAAGGCAGGCCTGCAAATTGACTAGGAAACCTTGCTGGTGGAGGAGGTGGAGGCGGTGGCCATGGTCCTTGCCAATTGGGAGGTCTGGGAGGAGGTACTGGCATACCATTACCATGCATTTGCGGAAGTATGAATGGCACATTCGCTAGAGGCGGTGGCAGTCTAGGGGCTGGAGGCTGGTGGTAGATGACTTGACCATTGTCTAACGAGGGTCGATTCTCGGCCGGAAAAGTGCGTGCTTGTAAAAGAGGTGGACTGTACTTCCCCTGCCATGCTTCAAAGTGTGACGACGATCTACCTCGATGATCTGACCTCGATCTGCTGCGAGAAGAAGAATCGGAGTAACGACGTCTCTTACGTGGACTCTGACTGCGACTGCGACTCCGGCTAGAGCTAGGACTTCGGGATCGACCTCTCTGCGGCGAGTCATCCTCCTTGGCACGTTTCTTCATTCTTTCGCAGAACGCCCTTGACCAGCCGTAATAGGTATCCCCAACAACGTCGTCTGCCTCGTTTTTGTAAGTCAATTGGCCGATCTCATCAACTTCGGGCACGACACCCTCTTCTTCGAGCGTGCTATCAGGATCGTCTATAGATCTGACGTCCTTCAAGAAATCCTTGAGTGCATTGACAAGACTTCCATCGGCTGTACCAGGTGTAAAGTGTAGTGCTCGTATCTGATCAGGTCGCATTGGTCGGGAGGAGTTTGGTACGATGTGAGGCATAAGATTAGCGGCAGGCAGATCGAAAAATGGCGCTGTGGGATCTCCATGGGCTGCTGGCATGATCCAAGGCAGTTCTTTGGTTTGTGTAACCAGGCCGTCTTTATTGTCTTTTGTTGCCTTTTCAGAGACCCCAGTAGTTACCGCGTCCCGAAGTTCAGTCAGCACTTCTGCATCACAATATTTCTCGGCATCCCAGATATCTATCAACCCGTTCAAGCGCCTGTTCGTCCTCTTTTTGCTCTCAGCAGCGGCATTCGCAAACAGCTCGGACAGGACCTGTTGTAGACCTTGCTGCACATTGTCACGAATTGCGGGATCGTAATCATGGTGCTTGATATGATGGAAGATATCGTTGATGAGGTAGAGCAAGTGTAACTGACGCCGGCACGTCCGAGTGCCTTCTTGATCACCTGGAAGGACTGCAATGTTCTTGCTAAGACTGGCGAGGTATTTGCTCAGCGCAGTCGTCCTTGTGGCTGACGGAAGGATGTGTTGCAGCAGCCATGATTTAGAGTTCTATTTATGCTCAGTAAGCTCGATACAGAATGTCAACCTTCGCGTCGATGTTTGCAGACCTGGACGTTGCTAGGAGTACATCTAGCTATGCTGCTCTCGAGGAGGGTATGGAAGCTCGCAAGATCATCGCGGCTGAGTTTTGTTATGTCTGGACGAAGGCAGGATGCAAGAAAAGACGCTTTGGCAATCGACAAGCTGTGGGCTGCCATGATACACGAACATAGGGAGTGTGGAATTCGCAAAATAGTGTGATTGTTCCTACATGCTACTCGAATACTCGAATATCTGAGGCCACGAGAGTTGTGGCCTGAGGCATCGATACGGCATACGCTGAGGAGTGCTTTAGGACCGAACGTGCTTGCCGTGAATTAGACAAGTTTACCATAGTAGGTTAAGATGCAGGAAAGGTTCTTTGATTTTGCGTTTTCGTACAGCGTCAAAGTGTTCTTCTGCTACAAAGTCAGGATGTATGTGACGGATAGAAAAGGCTTTGGTGGTCAGTGGCCTGTCGCGAAAGTTGAGCCTCGGGCTTAACACAAGCAGAGCCGGAACATATGCCGCGTATTTCCATAAGAACGTAATCCGGTTGAGAGCAAGTGGTGCGCTCAGCCCTGTTCCGAATTGCGTGCTGTTCAAGCGACTATATCCGTGCTTGCCTAGGCGAACTTGAGTCATGATGGTGTGAGCAAGGGCTCGCGGTGCGTGATTGTTGCTTGGGCTTCACCATTGCGGCTTCCACCAACGGTACGAATCGGACGGTTTATCTTTCAGTGATATGGACAATATATAAACGACTCGATCACCCTTGTTCATAGTCAACGTACATATCTTCAATCCTGCCAGTATTGTTTCAAGTCTCAAATCTACTTGTCGACCACCTTTAACACGACCAATCCAATCACTTCTCATTTTTATAATACCTCCCATCCAGCAACAGAGATTGCTCAAGTAACAGTATCAAGACGCCTTGTGGAAAGACCCAGTGAAACTTGTGCCAGCAATCAGTAGACCTCAGACTTCAACAATCATCATGTCGAGTGTACTGGCCGCCCAAGCAGTCCGACAATTCTCAGCCCAGGCTACTCGACCAGTATCGCGAGCTCAGTCGATGGTCACCACAGCTCTACTGTCTTCCGCTGTAGCTCTCCCATTCGTGCCACCAGCCATGGAGAGCGTCAAGGAACGAAGGCTAGGACATCCAAATGCAGATCGAAGGCATCAGGTACCTTTGTGCCGTCACCCATGAAGCTAGAAACTTCAAGTCTTTGCTCGAAAGCTTCAACGAATCTTCGACCCTGGAAATGCTTTCCATTGAACGTCTTCTTGAAAGCTATTGAACCATAGCGGACGCCTGGACCGGGAGTGGGACGTGTATTGATTTGGCGTTCGGAGCATGGTATGGTTGGTAAGGATAGTTATCTTAGCAATGACAAAGAGCGCAAGCTTCAGCTGAATCGATCGCCTTTCTTGCTTCTGTAAGGTTCTGCAGCCTCATACTTGCTTCGTTCTCTCATCCTTTGGTCGTCGCCGACAGGTGCATGCCCGACAGGAGCGGCGTCTTCGCTGATCTCACTACTCGGGCTGCCTGCGTGATCGAGTCCTCGAACATTGTACGCTCCGCTGCCCTCCTCGACCTTGCCTGGTTTTCTTCCTTTCTTGGGAACTGAATTTGCATCCGCAGCATATCCTGATGCCTCCAACCTAGCCAGTCTGTTCTTCTTCTTCACTTCCTCCTCAAATCTAGACTGTCTATCGGCATTAATCGACTGTTTGGCAAAGTAATATGCGCCGCCTCCAGCCACGCATAGTGCTCCCCAGCCTATCCAGGTCGACCTAATCTATACTCAATTAACACTCATTCGTCAACGAGTGAAGCAAGGAGGACGCAGACTTACTGTGTTCATTGCGACGAAATGATGAAGAAGTGAATTCTCGAGAACACCACATTCAATACTGTAAACGCATGGTGTCGAAGTGAAGAAGCTCAACTGAGGGAATTCGTGAAACAAACGGGCATGCACCCCGGTTCATCGTAAGCTAAATCCAGCGAATGACATAATACGCGGCAAAACCGCGGCCACTTGTCACTGCCTGCGCCTTTTCTACGATTACACTCCAGTCACTGTTGCTGTTCCCTTCTCTCAGGTCAGAACTTTATGGTCTCCTCGAAAAGTCTTGTGTAGGACTTCTCGAGCCAAGTACGTCTTGCTGTTACTCCTGTCCTTTTTGTAACCATGCCCGTCAAGCGTAAAGCGGCGGACGACACGACGGGTCGAGCCTCGAAAAGAGGCACACCAGCTCCCTCTACGCCACAAAGCATCGGTAGTGACGATGACTACGTGTCGGACGAGTACGACGAGGAAGGAGATTTAATCCAGCTCGATGCAGAGGAGAAGCAGAAGGCCAAAAGGGAAACGGCCGCTATCAAGCGACTGGCTGATCACACGCAGTTCTCAAAACTTTCGAAGAACTTCCAGCACTCGACCCTGTTCAAGAACAAGGATTTCCATAGGATGCCATTGAAGAAAGACCATGAGAACCGTCCTTTATGGCTTGACGCTCGTGTTGCCGACGGCTCTTCCAAGGGTCCAAAGATTACTCTAGAATACTTTGCTCCTAATGCTGCGAAAGCGACCGATCTCCTTACCACGATCGCTGAACCTGTCTCGCGCCCTGCTCATTTCCATGAATGGCGTATCAACGAACATTCCCTTTATGCTGCACTTTCCGTAGGCCTCAAAGGCGACGATATAATCAACGCTCTTGACAAGTTTGCAAAAACTGGCGTGCCTCAAGAAATTAAAGAGTTTGTTCATCGCAATACTTTGACTTATGGCAAAGTTCGCCTCGTCTTGAGGGAGAACAGATTCTGGGTTGAATCTGAAGACGACGAAGTGATTCATAGACTGTTGGCGGACCCGACCATTGCAAGCTGTAAAGCTGCTGGTGCCGAAGTCGAAACTGGAGTCGTGCAGACGAGAGGAACGGTCATTCAAGGTACGGCTCAGGCCAAGGGTCTTACACAAACAGCGGCCCAAGGCCCTGAAATCCCACGCGATGACCCGGCCGCTGAGCAGGAACGCATGATCGCCGCGCTTCGCGACGAGGATGATGACGAGGACACCTTCCGCAAGACTCACAGTTTTGAGATTACTCAAGGTCACCGAGAGCAAGTTGCGCAAAGGTGTCTAGATATGGGCTTGCCAGCAGTATCTGAATACGATTTTGCCAATGACAGGATAAACCCGAGTCTGCTCATCGATCTGAAGCCACAAACGCAGATCCGCCCCTATCAGGAGAAGGCTCTGAGTAAGATGTTCGGCAATGGCCGTGGTAAAAGCGGTATTATTGTCCTACCATGTGGTGCTGGCAAGACACTTGTTGGCATTACTGCAGGCTGCCACATTAAAAAGAGCATCGTCGTCCTCTGCACGAGCGGTATGTCCGTAACGCAGTGGGCTGGAGAGTTCAAAAAGTGGTCGGATGTTCGCGAAGAAGACGTTGCTTCCTTCTCTTCTACTTCCAAAACCAAGTTCAAGGGTGAGGCGGGTGTTTTGGTCTCAACTTACAGCATGATGTGTATGGATCCTGACAACAACAAAGCAGCCCACGACACAAAGGAGATGCTTCGATGGGTGCGCAGTAAGGAATGGGGTCTTATGATCCTCGATGAAGTCCACGTTGTTCCTGCGCAAACGTTCCGCAAGGTTACCGATGGAGTGAGAGCACATTGCAAGCTCGGTCTTACAGCCACACTCCTTCGTGAAGATGACAAGATTACAGACTTGAACTATCTCATAGGTCCTAAGCTATATGAAGCAAACTGGATGGAGCTTGCCAACCAAGGTCACATTGCTCGCGTCCAGTGCGCAGAGGTCTGGTGTCCGATGTCCATGGAATTCTATAAGGAATATCAGAAAGCTTCCGCTCGAAAGCAATTGCTTTTCTACGCTTGCAATCCTGTCAAGTTTCAGGTTTGTCAATTTCTAATCAACTATCATGAGTCTCGTGGAGACAAAATCATTGTGTTCTCGGACAACATCTTTGCTCTCGAGCACTATGCCAAGACTATGATGAAAGCTTATATTCATGGCGGGACGTCTGAGAGAGAACGTCAGGAAGTCTTAGACAACTTCCAGCATAACGATATGGTTAACACCGTCTTTCTCTCCAAGATCGGAGACACATCTTTGGATTTGCCAGAGGCGACGGTCCTAATTCAAATCTCGTCGCATTACGGTTCCCGTCGTCAAGAAGCGCAACGTCTCGGACGCATTCTCAGGGCTAAGCGAAGAAATGATGAAGGGTTTAATGCCTATTTCTACTCACTTGTCTCCAAGGACACAACAGAGATGGCATACTCGGCTAAACGCCAAGCTTTTCTGGTCGATCAAGGATATAGCTTCAAAACAATCACACACCTCAAAGGTATGCAGGAGCTGCCTGGCCTCTTGTATCGAGATCCACGAGAGCGCATGGAACTGCTCAGTGATGTGATGCTGCAGTCTGAAGATGCTGCAAAAGAAGAGAGCATCAAGGGTAACCTATGGAGCGATATGAGCACTAATCAGAAGAAATCACTTGGTCGTTCAGCTGGTGTACGACGTACAGCAGCCAGTCTTGCCGATATGGGTGGTGGTGGTATCATGGCGCCATTGTACACAGAGCGTGCTAGAGGTGCAAAGAACGAAGAGAAAAGTGCATTCTTTGAAAAGGAGAAGAGAAGGCGAATCAATCTGGAGAAGAAGCGACGGCAGGAGGCTGCGGAGGCGGAGGTGCAGGCGAGCAGAGGGAGGTGACGGCAGATATTTATCTTTGTGATCTACTAATTGCAATTAGCGAAGAACTCTGATCATTCCCACAACGATATTGAATGTGCTTCGATATAACTTAGTAACCAGCTGCAAGCCATTCTGTCAAGGACCTTTCATCGGTCTGTGTCTGCAATCGATTCCATGTGGTAACAGCCGCTGGATTTGAGTGACTTCAAGTGGGCAAAATTTGAAATTGAAAGTTGTCGCTGGTGTGAATGCGTCGGGGAGAAGAGATTGTCAGAGGTGAAAATTAGGTAACCCAACCTGCCGATTCCTGTTCTGGCTTTACTGTAGGTGCATTCCTACCACTCCTTCCTGCTTTTCTACTTTCGTCTGCGCATAGGCTTCGAATCATATATGATTCCTGCATCAAGATCGACAGCACAAACCTCGAGGGCAAGCATCGTGAGGGGAGACTGACATCCGTCTGAGCAACGCGTTGAGCGACAGAGCATGACCATTTTTCCTCGCGTGTACACCTGAACTTGACTACACGTTTCAGATAAGAACTGTCACCGGCTAATGGTTGATTCAAAATGCGGCGAAGTCCTTCCTAGCTCGAAGAGGCAGGTACTCTCTGGCTGTCTCAATGTGTCCTCCGCACACATGAGGTCAGGATGAAAACACATCATGTTGAAGACCTAATCACCCTGTGGATTGGACAGCCGATCGCATTCGGTTCACCTTCAGAGCTACTCTACTGTACACGTTTTTCGCTATGCAAAAGATTCTGGTCAACATTGAGCACGTTTACAAACGGTCGCAAGTGCTTGGCAGGATCGCCAAGCTTTCGACCGCTCCTGCCATTGGATGCTTGGTCACGCTTTCGAACGCCTCCAGGTCTTTACCCGACCATGAGCACTTTCTCGGCATGCAAGTGTATCTAAGTTGAAGTCAAAAGATCGACTCTATACTCGTGGTCATGTTGGGTATACTTGCTGGGTCATCCCATGCCTATCATGTGGTAACGCGGCAAGCAGGTCGAGTCCATGGCGGACGAGGACTAACCCTTCATCCACAATGAGGCGGCCCCAGAACATCGGATCGGGCGTGGACACCAGCACCAATGACTGGGCCTCGAATGATAAGCCTATATATCTGTCTATGTCCTGGCCTCAACATCTCAACTCTCTTGCGAGCTTCAGCATTGACCTGAATCATGAGGAACAACCATCTTCTCAGCTTGGCCGCCCTGGTCACGGGAAGTCATGCTCTCATCGGCTTTGGTATCGATATGTACAAGCCACTCTGTGCGTTTGCTTGTCGTGGTTCAATAGCAGGCGCCCCCCTTGTCTGTACGCCTCACGACCATAGTGGAGGTCATTCTGGGCATGGAGGAGGACCGACCACACCTGCTTGCTATTCTCAGGATACTTCATTCCTCACTACACTGGCGTGGTGCATATCCGAACGCTGTCCCGAGGTCGACGAATGGAAGCTGGAGAGGTATTGGTACAAGAAGGCTTCTGCAAACAACGACGAGCGTATAACGCCAAAATGGACATATCAAGAAGCCCTCGATCAGGTGGTTGATCCACCTACAAGGCCTGTCAACACCTCTGAGCTGCTAGACTTCACTGGCACAGTAGCAGACGAGGATTATCAGGCAAACGTCAATGGTAATGGACGTTTCGAATGGTCAGAGACACTTCATTCTAAATATGGGCAAGTTCCTTCTATAGTCCTTACATTCGCCTGCTAATTAGTGCCTACAGCATTGCCCTCCTCGTTTTGGGTGCAGGCATACCTATTCTTATGACCATGCTAGCCTTCCTTCCAGGTTTCGAACACTTCTTCTCCAAGCTCAAGCCATACCTAAGCTATCCGTCGCTTATTGGTAAATACCATGTCCAGTCCTTGCCGTATCTCATCGGCAACTCGCCAACCTTCGGTCAGACTAGCTATATCGTTGTCTTCTTTCTTCTGAACATTCTCTTTACAGCTTTGGACTACAAATCAATCACACCCAACTCCTGGTTCACAGACACAAAGTCTGAGATCTTGATCTATGTTGCCAACCGGACGGGTGTGCTCGCGTTTGCACTTGCGCCGCTAGTCATCCTTTTTGCTGGTCGTAACAACGTCCTACTATGGCTCACGAATTGGTCTCACTCAACTTATCTGCTTCTGCATCGATGGATAGCTCGAATCTTTACGCTTCAGATAATCCTGCATTCGATCCTAGAGCTCGTCTACTACAAACACACGGGCGAGTATGAAGCTGAAGTTGTACAGAAGTACTGGATCTGGGGCATCGTCGCCACACTTGCTGCATGCATCATGATCGTCGCGTCCGTCATCTGGTTTCGACGAGCAGCCTATGAGGTCTTCCTTGTTCTTCATATCCTGCTAGCTGCAATCCTGCTCATTGGCTCCTGGTACCACGTTGACTTGTTATACGAAAGGAGATGGGGTTATGAGTTCTGGTTGTATGCGGCTTTTGCCGTATGGTTCTTTGATCGCGTGCTCCGAGCTCTCTGGATTGCACGAAACGGTATACAGCAAGCGGAGTGGACCGAAGTCGATGACAATATAATCCGAATGGATGTGCTTGGTGTACGTTGGGGTCTCAGTCCAGGGCAACACGCATACTTGTACTTCCCCGGAGCAAAGCGTTGGACATTCTGGGAAGCACATCCTTTCTCTGTGATACCACTTGTGCAGCACAACGGAAGAGGCCTGAATGTATCTGCTTTACAATCCGATACTGACTCGAACATCGAGGCTGCTGATAACAAGACCAACGACCTTGAGAAGAGCGCTGTTACCTCGACTCGAACTCCAGCACATCGATCGTCACTGGTGACCAATCACACCGTGATTGGAGTGCGTATGTACCTTCGCAAGCACTCAGGCATTACCAAAGCTCTACACGCGAATTCATCACCTACAGTATTGCTAGAGGGGCCCTACTACAACCACAACCCCTGGCTAAAACCAGGTGTCTCATCCTGCGACCGCATCATCCTACTCGCTGGTGGCATCGGGATCACCGGAGTTCTCAGCCACGCCTACACACATCCGGCGGTAAAGCTCTACTGGTCCGTCAAGACCGCAGGTCAGGCTCTAGTCGACGATGTCAGGCGATCCGGCATGCTGGACCACTTGAGCAACGGCGTTACTCTGAATGTAGGCGGAGCAAGATTTGATTTCGAGATCCTGCTTGGTGAGGAGTGCATCGGTCAGGAACCAAGGACGAAATTGGGCGTGGTTGTATGTGGACCAGCGAGCTTCTGCGACGACGCAAGAGCAGCGGTAGTCAAGGTCGCCAGGAGGACGAAGATCGATATTGAGTTGTGTGAGGAGGCTTTTAGTTGGTAAATTGATGGATCTGTTATTTTAGACCAGCACAACAAATGATATCACTGCTAGAGAGAAGCTAGATAGACCAGAGAACGTGTGGAATATAGAGTCCAAAAAGCGTTGAATATATCACAATGCTATAGTCAAAAACCACAACTTCAAGAAACCAAGTCACAGTTAGCATGCATTGTCTCAAAGCCGCACCGAATATGGTCACGTTTTGAGTAGTCGGCGAAAGCACGGGATAATTCGATTCATGTTCATGCCCGTCGTGCCTGCTAGAGCAGAACCTCCATCAACGACTAGCCACGTAAGTACCGAGGGATCAGGTTAGCGAAGACGTGGGTTGAATTTCCGAAGGCATGCAATGGTCTTTCTTGATAAATTGAGAACACTTTTTAGAGACACATGGCTCATTAGTCGTACTGCCAAGAGATATACATAGAGCGCCTACTGAACTCCTTGAAAGACAGCAGATCGCCGCATCAACTTCGTCTGAACCTAATAGCGGCAACATCAGGTTGATCTTCGTTGTAAGCGATGTCAGTCCACATGTGACAGATGATAGTGTCGCAATGGTAACCCCCAGATAGTGGTTCACAGCACCGGAGACCTGTCGACGCTGTTACCGCTCAGGCTGGGTACATACTGTGTTTGACTGGCCCGAGAAATTGTGCAAGGAAATGTACAAAGGTGTAATTGAAGGAATATTAATTGCTCATTTCTTTGCCTTCTTGTCCTCTTTTTGGCCATCATCCTTTTTGTCTTCGTCTTCGTGCTCGTTCTTCTTCTCCTTCTTAGGGGCAGGATGACTATGCTTCTTGTGGGTCTGTTTTCTGACCCTCTTCTCCTCCTCATCACGATCTTTCAGTCTTTGCTCTTCATCAGCGATCATTTCCTTCCATAGCTCATCGCCTGGATCTGCAGGTGGGAGTTCCTGCTTTCTCTCAATCATACGTTTGTGCTCTGGATCGCTGGGGTCGACGATCTTTACAGTCTCGTATCGTCCAGTCTCGTTGTTGCGGTCACTGATTTCGAATGCAGCAGATGCGACGAGTACACCTACAGTTAGAAACTGAGCGTACACACGAGCCTGTACCAGTTTCTGAGGACCAGTAAGATATTTGTTGCGGTTGACCAATGCAAAGGCTCCGATCATAGAAGCTATCCAAGAAGCGCCGACAATCTTGTACCTTTCCTTCTTGCCAAAATCCATAGCTCTTTGGGTGAATGACTTGCCTGCTACCTCCTTCTCTTGCCTTTGTCGCTCACGTTCCTTGTATTCTACATCCTTGGGGTTCTGTGCCCTTTCATATGCTCGAGACCAGTGATCTGCTGCAATGATGCCGCCGAAAGTACCAGCAGAGGTGATAAGGAAGGCTCGTAGAGGCAGTGTAAGTCCTCGAAAGAAGGCATATCGACGAGACGCAAAGAGGACACCAGTAGTTCCTAGCGCCAGACCACCAAGACCACCAATCGTACCGCCTTTCAGCGTCTCCGTATAATGCTCTTGCTCTTGTTCCTTGGTAAGGAGCTTCATTGCGGCGGCTGTGTCTTTATGGTTTGGATAAGACCCGAATATGCGGCTTCACACACAGCGCAGTATGGATCAAGTCCAACTGAGGCCTATCCTGTCGTTTATATTGTGGTCTTATGCGCAAGCACGCGCCTCTTCAGCTCGTGTGCAGAGCTCGTATGCGGGGACAAGCTCTTTCTAGATCCGTCCTAAGTCGAATGAACAGGAAAGACTCGTATCAAAACGTCCACAAAGCCTAAAGACAGAGATAGTGATCAAGATAATATCTTCGTCATGTTGCTGCTTCCATGGAGATGATAAAAGACTCATTGCCGGTAAGCGAAGTTGTGGTGCGTGTATGACATCAGAAAGATTAGCAAGGAAAGAGCTTTGGAGAGCTTGCCGGCGGATATAGCTCCCAATCAATGCAGGACGGAAGCGGTCGCCGGTTTATGACTTGGCACTGAAGCGACGGTGTCGAGCCTTAGACAGCCAACTTCTCCACGTACGAGTAAGACACATATCATTTCGCTGGGTATCATGTAGCGACAACCCACACGATTGCAGGTTGCTTAAATTCACGAAGGAAGAAGAGGATGAAGCTAGACTATGCGGAGGTTGTCTAGTTCATGGATTCAAGCACTAGCCCACAGACATGAATGTCTGTGCTTGAAGTGAAGAGAAGAGCTGCATACTCCCAGCACTTATCTGATGTAGGTCTTGAAGATGCGGTGTTGATGGTCGGCCAGACATCCTTGGCCACACATCTGTCGTACGTGAGAGGTAGGACCCCTGACAGGTTCCTGAATGTCCCGGGAATTGCTTGGGGAAAGAGTGAACGAAACTATTCTACAAGGGAGTCCGCCGCCCAAATACGTGGCTCGCTTCAAAAGTTCTTGGGTGTTCTGATATGCACCAACTTAACGAAAAGGACTTATGCTGAACGTGAGGTTTATGGCGCAGATCGGCTGGCCACACCTCCTCTATATCCTTGTCCGGAAAAGCACAGCTCTCTTGTGAGCTTTGACCGCTGGTTAAGCTTCCAATTCGATTACTGCTGACAGTCATAAAATATTGCTCGACCTTTGCGAAGTGTCGTTTCATCTCCCTGTCGTTCATATATATATTCTCCTAAACCTCCACGTTCCGAACGAAGCTAACGCCCTCCAGGTTGTTGCAGTCGATCTCTTGCTCGGTAATGTCTTCTGCTACGCTATTGAATATGCGACATCAATAGAGACTCGAACGATACTAGACTACCTCCGGCAAATCTTTATGCAGTCAGCCTGCCTTGATGTTGAAGCAGACCGGGACGAAGTTTGAGGGTGCTACACTCTCGGAAGACCTAGAGTAATATATCGTTGAGTCTCTCATGGCGAAAATGCAGGGCATAAGTTAGAGGGAGAAAAAGGTATACATTCGACAATTTCTTACACGATGCAAACGATAGCGTAGAGTACAGAACCTCTGCGACCATTTTGGAACAGCATGTCTATTCTTCCTCGCCAAGAACCACCTCGGAACACCCTCGAGCTTTACAAAGGCACCATGCTGTTCAAATACCTATATTCTGGCATATTTAATATATACTTGTCGACCAAGTGGCTCTTCCTACCGCGTCAATTTCACTTACTAGAGCCGGACGGTAGTTCAGCGCTGTCACTTCACTCCGGCCACAAGCTCATCGCGAAGTCAATCTCCGTCGTTGTCGAGGTTACTTGGCCTTCCCCCACGTTCTACCTCTGAACTGGTCAAGGTATGATCCAGATCTCTGACCATGAGCTGGACGCACATGCGACCTTTCACTTCTATGCCCAGGAGCTGCTGTATGCAGCGTTTCATCCACGAAGCTATATCTTCGTGAGCTATGTCCTCCTCGAGCATATTCTGAATCGTCCTCAAACGTTGTTGGCAGTTTCTGCACGTTCTTGGAAGGTCGCCTAACCGCATTACGCCGGGTCAGGGTCGAGTCAGTGGTGTTCCTTCGCGATCCTGGGTCAGGGCGAGGCACTGAGCCGTTCGAATTTGCCGACTGCGGGGCAGCAGCGGGCTGTCGGTCCCTGCTCGGGGGAGTCTGACTGCCTGATGGTCGAGGTGGGTACTTTTTCTCAAACCCCCGCTGCGATACGGCATAATGTTTTCTAGATTTGTCTTGGAGGTCCAAATCCCAATCATAACGGTGCTTCCTGCATTTGTTTGCCATCACTTCCATAAAATCAGAAAACACACGGTACTCTTTGGCGGTCTTCGAATCGTTCCGGACATGTTCCGGTCGATACTGACGAAGTCTTTCCGTCAGGTGCTCGAGCATCCTCTCTGCTCGAGTGGTGCGCGGAACGCCCATGAGGGCATATATATCGATGATCGTCTCTGGATAGTTGTTCATGTTGACTACTGGAGCTGCTAATTTTGTGTTTTTCTGTTATGGTTCTATACCACGAGAGTGTCGGAACCATGTGCTCATATACTCATGAATGGCACTCGATCCGTCACCATTGTCATTTTATACTCTGCATGACATCCCTCTTGGAATCTGTCAAGTGATAACAACGTCGTTGTTGACTACACTTTGTTGTTTGTGTCCGTGATAATAAACACTTCTCTTTGTTGGAGCATCGACTCTGTTGCTGACCCGCACAAAGATACAATGGCTTTCTCTTCTGACCGCGATACCTTGATCCATCGCAACAGAAAGCAGAGTACCATACAGCAAACAACATGGGCGATAGCAATTCTCCAGCATCCGACATGCAACAGATATCGGGAGGTGAGGACATGATTCATGAGACGCTACAGGAAACACACAAGACTTACCTAACCGAATTACAACACACATCAAAACTCTTATTGACCGACAAGCTGGCAGACCTCAATCCGCAACGAAGTCAAGATTGTGCCATCTGCTACGAGCCTTTTTTAGCGGGCCAGGCTACCTTAGTGCACAAAACCACCTGTGCCAACGCATTCCATGCAGACTGCCTACTGATATGGACCAAAGAGCACGCTAGCTGCCCTGCCTGTCGAAGAAGAATAAGAATCCGACCAAGAGAGTCGCATCCCGAAACCGACGCCTGGCTCGAGAGACGCTACACGGTACCAGCCATCCACGAAGCATGGCAAAAATACAATATCCCACCGCCAATCTGGTTTCAAAGCCTAGGAGACCTAGACGAACTAGCCAAGCTAGCAAAGCTAGCCGATTTCTACAACCCTTATATGGCAGGCTACATCGCCGAATCTCTACGTCTTCGCAGCATCACTACTCCAGTAAGGCGGCCGGCTCCTCTCTCCGCCGAAATAGACCCAACCAACAACTCAGAACAAGAAGAGGACGACATACAATCCCAACTCGGCACTCACCACGCCCGAATCTCCAAATATTGGTTCAAAGGCGCCGTCGACCGGCTCCAATACCTGTCCTGTGGCTATATCCTGCCCACTACCCCTTCGGAAATACACCTCGAAAAACACCTCTTTGGTCAATATTTCCATGAAACTCGAGAGGCGCTGAGATTGCTGGTCGAGATAGGGCATACGGAGGCACACGCGCTTCTGGATCGTGCGCTTGGACCGCCGATGGTATTGAGGAGTGAGAGTGGTGGGGAGAGAGTGCTTGTGCATCGGTCGAGTCCGGAGGCGATTGAGGCGGCGTTGAGGGAAATGGATAAGCCGGTGGTTTGGGCGAGGATGAGGTCGTTCAATGAGGGGTTGTGAGTTGGAAAGGAATGGGATGGGATGGGATGATGTTATGCAGGCAATAGGGAATGAGTTAATTCGAGACCACAAAAAGTACAAAGAGAAGAGTAAAACGTATGCAAAGCTATCGCCGATGAAGTGCACGTCTTGCTTCTCAACGAAATTCATTTTCATTCTGTTTTGGTATTCCATATACGTCTGAGCCTGCACAGCTGGCTTTCCGCCTGCAGGACTATGAACATAGAGAAATCGTACATACATCTTTTCTGTGCAACAGCTCCCCCGTAGCGCAGCACGGCATGTCAACATAGCAGTCTCTTCCTTCACCTTTCGTGCTTCTCGTCCTCACCATCTCTCACGTTCGTTCACGATACCTCACAGAGATGATGTGATTGTAAATCAGCCGGTTCCGTGACGATGTCTCTGAGATAATTCCCTGCACAACCTGTCACAACGCGCCGCAACTTGCCGCAACTTACCACGACTGACTCTCTTCTTTGTACACTTCTTACTTGTGATATGCCTCTGGCATTTCCTCAATCATCATGTGGGACCAATAGCCTAAACAATCCGCGAGTGTCCTCATACTTGACTCCAATCTCCTGAGCCATGCCTCGCAAGTCGTCATCTTCATAAGTGTGCAAGTCGGCCATATATTCTGAAGCGCCCAGTCTTGCAGTTGTCGTTACATCCTCCCGAGTCCAACGTCGTATGATCTGCGACTCGTAGACATCGTTCTTGCGTCCAAAGCCAAGAAGATTGGTATGACTCTCGAATATATTTTTCGGCATATCAAGCTTTGATAGAACTGCTCTGTATCGACTGTCCCAGAACTCTTCCTCGAAGTCATCCGGTGCCAGCCTATAAGCCAAACGGCATGCTCTTGCTTCCAAAACGACGAGCTCGATACGTGTCGGGCGCACTCTTGGTCCGGAACCCTCGAGTGGTGAAAGCGTCAAGGTTTCTGGATCGCAATTGGATGGTGGGTCAAACATCACATTTTGGAGCGCACGGTAGGCATTAGCGCGCCAACGGTAAGCGTCGAATCGGTTGCGTTTTGAGGCACCACTCCAGTTTGTGACCATATGACTAGCAACAAGGCAGTCGTCCAAAAGATTGAAAGCTGCGTGTGCAAAACTGGTAGGGTCGTGGCCATTAATGTAGAGCAAGTGTTTAAGCGTAGCTAATGAATAAGCGTTGATCAGGTCCATGGCGATAGCGAGCGCGGAAACTCTCGCTGGACTAGTCAATGACCAAGGTAGCATGCCGTCGAAATGCTGCTTCGCAATCCGCAAGCCGGCTTTGTAGCAGGATCGTGCTGCTAGTCCGGTGCGCAGATTGCCAGCTTCCTCAAAAGCCAGGAGCACTTCTTGAATTTCGTAGATTGATGTTCGCTGAGATTGCATCTTCTGGGCAAAGATATCAAGAAGGTTGTCCTTAGGCTCAAAGGTGACAGAAGCGACTCCTCTGATCTGAAGCAGGGGCAACAAATAGCCTGAGATGGCCTCTGCCTTGCTGCTCAGACTCTTGAAGTTCATCGTAATCGACTTAGGGATAGAAATGCTCGTTAGCGAAGCGATGTTACTGCAGAAGTTCAACCACGAGATCTCACTGCAGATGAAGAAACATGAACAGGAATGTAGTGTCATATCTTCCGTCGCTCTCTCACTAAGATGTATCTTTATTCTGTCTTCGAGATCGGCTTTGTTCTCCGCTGGCACCAAATACTCCGGCACATATGGAACTTCGTCGAAAAGCACATGAAAGGGAAGGGTTGGTGGTATTGACGGCATAGAAGAGTATCTCGTGAACTTGACCCATTGGTTGCCAGTAGAGAGAAACTGGCAAGCCTCGTATCGAATCTGGCTACACACCTGTAGCAGGTTGACATCGAACACATGTTGTTGCCTCCTCTTCCCACGTGGCGTGGTCTCATCACTCACAAAATGCTCGTAGATTTTGTACCGAATTTCGACTGGGATGCTCAGAAGGCTGGGCTTACTGACTGTGTTGTTGGTGGATAGGAAATCGGTTTCACTCGACAGCGTCGCTGCTGATGGCAGGAAGTCTGACATACCTGCAATACCGTCGACACTCATACTGACGGCAAGGGATATCGAAAGGTGGTTGACAATTCTTGTGCAAAGACGATCGTATCGAGTTATTGACGCAGACGTGAGTGTTCAGCGGTGTAGTGCATGGGAATGAAGAGATTCCCAATTGCGGAGTTGGCCATAGGTTGCAGGCGTGTTGCCTGCAACAGTGAAAGTGGTCGCCGTCGGCAACCATGCCGTCACTCGTTTGTTGTGGGCAGGATGACACTTTTCAGGCCATTGTTTATCAACAAGACTTTCCTGTTGAATGAAACATGTGAAAGACATGTGATCGTCAGCGTGCCTGATCCTTCTTGCCTGCAGCGCTGACGACGAACACGGACGTCGACAGAATGAATGATACCGACGATGAGGACAACACATTTTCGCTTGCTGAAAATGTTCTCGATGCAGCGATTCACCCATTGAGCAGCGTCAATCCCCCGCCGATAGACCTTCCGGACCTCCTCGATAGTCTGATCGATAGCGAAAGCAAGCTCGTAGGGAAGATCGAACTCTGCGATCAATTAGCAGATGGGTTGGCAAGAAGAATTTTACACATCAGAAACAAGCTAGAGAGGTTGCAAAGGCGGTACCCGGAATGGCGGTCAAAGGTTAATCCGTACGCTGATGGGGTGCCCCGGAAGAACAAGAACAAGATGCAGGTGGCCTTTGAGCAGCAGGAGGTTGTATTCTCACGAATGCTGATGCAACTGAACTTCTTGCACTTCTGTGTGAGCCATCGGATGAAAGGACTTGTAGCTTACTTTGTCAATTTGCACACGCAGCTCTTCACCCGTTTCCTCGGAGAAAGGCACAGCCATCCCGGGATTGAGATAGCCAATTCCAGACATCTTCACTGCGTCGATGGATGTGAATGGTATCTCTTGCACGGCCCGTACGAGTGGTCGGGGCAGCCTTATGGCAAGCTATGGCAGGCAGAGATGAATCATACTAACTGGGACTGGGTAGCTGTGAGAAAGCATATCAACGACTTGATTGAGAATAGCAGAGCAAAGGCAAGCGACAATATGGACTTGTTGCACTCTCACCTATTGAAATTCGTGCCCTTCTGGTTCTGGGTTGAAGACTATGAGTCCTGGACATTGCAGGCCAAAATCTCGGCAAGAGCAGATGAACAAGGAAGAAAGCTTGAAAGAATTACCACAGTGGTCCGGTATCAGAAATCAACAGGGCAGTTGGAGCAGGAGCTGGAGCGAGCACGAACAGTAGTCCAGCAGAAGAAAGAGCAAACGGGAGAGGAATGTACCACCCCAACCATTGATGACATTGATCCTTTTGGTGTTCAAGATTTGCATCCTCACATCGTGTTCGACGGCAAAGTTTTCATCCGTGAGTGGGCAGAGGGTGCTGAGGCCAAGGTGATAGACAGCTGGCTTGATTATTGGGGTTTTCAGCAGTGGTTGAGGCAGATGCAACCCACAAGGCCTTGAAGTTGAGCAGCGATGATCGGCGAGTGCGGACTGTGGAAGCTCTGCGAATATCATGATTGTCATGAGATGTCGTGGTATGAGGATATACAGGGAATAAGGAGATGAAAGAAGGATGATGAACAGCTGACAGCGGTGCCCGGAACGAGTCTAGCTTGCGAGACGGTGTCATGAAGCGATGTTCTCGAATGGAATAATGTGATTAAGCCGTTGCCAATGCAGCGAATGGAGACTCGAAGATGCTTGAGCCATGCAAAGTCAGAAATGTAATGCTCTTACGATAATGTCTTTACATTTCATCTGAGTCTCGGCGAGTGACACAACTCGTACTACTTGATTGTGCCACATATTGTCCACTAAAACTGTGTATGCTAAGAAGCTTAGAACACGCTAATGTCTCCAGCTTCGTAACTTTTGCAGTACTATGTGTAAAGACGATTGTTATGGCTCACGCCACGTTTGAATCCCCTGACGATAGCCCCATGGTGGATCAAGAACTCAGCTGCGTCTCGGGGTCCATCATTCTCTAATCTCACTTTGACCCTCCACGCAGACACATTTCAATAACTCATTACTGGCGACAACGACATACCTTAGCCTGTCCAGGCATAAGAATAATCGCCACTACTTTCCATCTGTTTGTTTGAGGCAAGTCAGTTGCCGCCTACTTCCTGCAGCTCACACTCGTTTGGTACTTCGACTTCTCTAGACGACAACCCATCTGGAACTGTTGAGGATATTCTCGTAAAATACCATCATCATGCCCGCCGACCAGTATTACGAAAAGGTTGCGGGCGATGATTCAGGCGAGCCGCTGGTCGGAGAGGGCAGCTCGCGACGAGTTGTACGTGCGCCGCCAACAAAGTCGAGGAAGAGGTCGACTTTGACCAAGGTCGCTTTAGGCGCAGTCTTTGTCACAATCTTCGTCGCTGCTGTTGGTGTCATATCGTCCGCAGTCGTGTCGTATCGACTACCAGCAGCAACCGAAGCTGCACTTGCCAAGCAACAAGGCAGTACGACTACCTCATCTGCTTCGTCTTCCTCCACTGGTAGCAGCAAAACTGCAGGGATGGGTATGGGCATGGGCGATGGAGATTTTGACGGCATGGACACAGACGCAGTGACCACAGATGACAGGACACCAAGCAAGAGTGGAACATTAGTGGATGAAAGCTTCACAGCACTTTGGAATGGATCGAAACATCAGGAGCTGAGGAGTTGTGGTGGCACACCAGATGAAGCTCGAGCTGCAGGCTGTGTATTCGATGTCATGATGCAGCTCTGGACACCTCCTGAGTGTATGGATACACCGCTGTCTGAGCGTTTCCTGGAAGCGGGAAATTGGACATGGTATGCAGACGGCGCGGCATCTCGCGCGTACACAGATGAGGAGATTAGAAAGGGAGAGCATGATGTTGTGTATGTCGCTCAGTCATATCATCGGCACCATTGTATCTTCGCATGGGAGCGACTTGTCCGAGCCATGCGAAACCAGGCACCCTTGATCGAAGAGCTTATCAGCTACGACCATGTCATGCACTGCCGGCACAAGACCTTGACTCTGCCAGAAGAGGGCGCCGAACAGGTTCGAGGTGTAGTTGCTCCTACCGGGTACACCAAGTGTGCAAGTTATGATGTCTGGATCCAAAACCTGCCACTTAACAAGATGTCTTCCAGTGAATAAACTTGAAGATGGCATGGATGAGCTATTATTGAGAACGATTGATATCTTGGAGTGGAAAATGTATGCAGGATTCAATTACAGTGGTGGTGTCGAAGGCGCACAGTCGAGCACTCTTTTTTGGTTCGATGTCTTTCTTTGCTGTTCACTCTATAGTTTCCATACCTGAAAGAATTTAAAAACATTTGGAAGTTTGAGAAATGTATGTCCATAGTGCACGGCCTCTATCCTGCGACTGAGTACAGCATTCCAGCACTTCCCATCTCACACTGTAAGCGCAATACTGATTGAGGAAGGAACGTTCTTGTAGAGTCAGTCGCCTGAAGCACTCATCTTAGGCAGTCGCGTTATTCACACATCTAGTATCTTGCTTGTCAGGCGTGTAAGTGGTTGCTTACGTACTCTGGGTCGCGTGGCTGCCATCTCGCGACAAGTCCCAAGTTTCACCATCCCGGGACCAACGACGTTTGAGCTTCACCATGCACCAATATATCACGACTACAAAGACCCCTTACAGTTACACGCTATGAGCGCAGTCTCAGAGATGCTCCTCCAGAAATTCCAATGGAGACAACCCAAGAGAACGAAGAAACGTGTGATGCGTTGAGGAGCGGCAGGCGCGTGCATGTCGCTGATATCGAGACCAGCACTGAACCTGCAGATCAATATCTCGAGGCAGCTGTGATACTCGTCTGGCCTTACTCTAGCTCAACTGGAGAGCTGTCCCTCTTACTAGCAGAACGCGACGTCGTCCTTCGAAAGGCTACAGGCCAGGTCAAAGTCACCTTCCATGGACTGTGTGCGAGAGAAGTTGCTCAGACGAGGATTGGAATTGGCGAGAGCCTCAAGTTGAGCTTGGAGAATGTCCAAGTGATCAGAGAATCGGATGAAGTCTCTACACCAGGCAAGAAGGCCAACTTCACTTTGCATTACAACACCGCGGTTCAATTAGAGGTTAGAATTTGTAACCAGTCTTATATTACACGACTGACCAGATAGCAGATCTCTCATACAGATGGCTCGACTCAACAAGTCAACCTTGTCCCTCTCCCCTCGCCTACCATTACTGCCTTCTCCAGCCCAGTCCGCAATGGCCATACCAATGGCTATAACACACCACAACATGAAAGCAGCACGTACAATCCTCATGGAATGTTGCCTACAAAGGCTACTCCTGCCATAAGAACTGGCCCAAGGGTGTCTTCAAACTCTTTTCCAGGTTCTTTCGTCGACCCATTCACTGAAGAAGATGGTTCTACACCCGGACGCGGTCGCAAAAGAACCAAGTTTGCCAGGCACAGCGGTGCTTGGAGACTTGCAGATCTTGGAGATGAATCAATTGCGGTTGAATCTGAAAACAACAATCTTACCCCTGCGAGTGAGCCCGCATCAAACCAGGTCATAATCTCTCCGATGGAGCAGGAGGCTACTGCAGCAACTTCCACTACACTACCCTCTGCTGAGGTTTCTGGTGCTACGGAACAGCACAAATTAGAACAGCAGAATATTGCTGACATTGAACCTGACCTCGAGCTCGCAAGCATTGAACATCTATCGACACCGGATCCACAAGATCCACTTCTTTCTGTTGAATCTCCTGCTAAGGACAAGCAGCGACTCATGCGTGAACGACCTTCGCTTGGCAGCGACAGCATGCCAACCCCAAGAATCCAAGCTCTAGCTTCTCCAGGCCTACCACTTGTATCACCTCTGTATCAACGATCTGATTACTTTCCCAGATTCGAGAGACAAATGTCCGAGCTTGATGCAAGTGCTGAGCCACAAGGCCTCCTGCAAGTACCTCTACAGATTGATGCGATGCGAACAGCAATCAATGAGCCATTGTCGTCGCAAGCTATAGAATCTTCGCAATTTGCCATTGCTCCTTCTCCAGCAGAAGACCTTGGCCCACAGTCAGCAGTGCATTTTACAAGTACCACGGAAACCGAAGTTGATCTGGATGCGCTGCAACAACAGATTGAACTTGAGAATGCACCCATCTTTGAGACTCTAGTCTTCCCAGATGTTGTCGAGAATGAGGATCTTTATGGTCCTCCTGTAATTTCAAAATCAGGCCCACAATCTCAAATAGAGGTTCAACCTGTTGAGCACATTATGCAGAAGGAGTCGCCCATTACTCTTCCTATACCGAGTCCTGGTAAGGCTGCTATTCTGGATGACCTGGACGATGACGACCAGGACTTGAATTTGATTGACTTCCAAGGAGTACACAACATTGAGAGGAACTCCGTGGTATCGGACGACGGTGACATTATTGGCGAGCCTGGAGGATACTTCTCGTCTATGCAGTCTGTGCTTCTTCATGGTAGAGATGAGACTCTTGATGCTCCATCGGAGCATATGGAATCCACGTCACAATTCACCATTCCTCCTCAAAGCTATTCAGTAACTTTCGACTCAAAGGAAAAGACTGATGATCACGATAACGTCCCGCACGTCAATCGAGATGCATCTACGGACACCAAACTAGTCTCGCCGGAAGTGTATGGACACGGAGATCCAGATGAGGCACAAATTAACCCAGGTATAATGCAAGGCTCAAACAGCCCGATGGAAGTCGAGGACGTAGAAGTTGAACCACAGTCAGCTGCAAACCAGAATATTATGGATGTCTCATCAGATGATACGGAAGAACCGCCACGGCTACGCTTCAGACCTGCTTCGCGGCAGCAAGAACATTATCTCGGCTTCGGTTTTGCCACAGAGAGGGCTTTTCAGGCCACTGATCTTGCTGATCTAGGACAAAGCGGATTGCCTACAGCACAAGCTACGCAAAGTGGCCTCCAACAAGGAGACGGTGAAACAGCAACGAGGAATGATCTGTCCGAAGAGCTGCCGCCAACATCAGCGGACACTCAGCAGATCTTCTCAGCGGAGCGACCCCATACAACAGGAGGAGATTCTGCCAATGATAGACTATCCGCTCCTGTAGAGGAAGTAGCAATGACCACAGCTCGAAAAATGCCACCACGGACGACAACTGCATCGTCGTTGCCAGGTAGTATTTATAGCGACTACTTTACGCCTCGCAAGTCAGCTCCCACGTCAAAAATTGATCGATCTCCAAGGAGAACTAGATCTTCTGCCACTGGTGAGGAAGAAGAGACGGTAAGCTCGCAACCCGTCGTATCTGGTCGCGATAACGAAACCTTGCAGTCAGCATCACCCAATGTGCTTGGTGTTACCGAAATGCAAGCAGATCCTGTCCCGCCACCTCTACTGAGTCGAGGAGCAAGCACTCACCATACTTACTTCGCTAATTTGTCGTCCTTGAGAGATCACTTTAACCAATTTGTCGATGTTCTAGCAATATCTGTGGAAGACACGTATGCTCCTGAACGTGCAAAAGCTGGTCCCAAGGACTATTTCACCACATTTCATCTTGCAGACTCCTCGCTTAACTCGGACGGAAACTCTACAATACAGGTGCAAATATTTCGACCTCGAAGAAATGTCATACCAATACTTCGACGTGGAGACGTGATGTTGATGCGAAACTTCAAAGTCCAGTCTCAGTCGCACAAGATGTCCCTGCTCAGCCACGATAGCTCCGCCTGGGCCGTGTTCCACCTCGAAGCTGCTACTGACGACCAAGCAAGCAGAATATCAGTGACTGTATCCGGTCCACCAGTTGAGTTTGGCGATGCCGAGGAGAAGTTGGTCAACGAAATTTTCGAATGGTGGGCGCGAGATGGTCAATCACTTTTTTCTGAGCGTCCAGCCAGCGAACAGCCTCCGACTGACCAAGGTCAAACGAGCACACGCAAAACCAGAAGAACAACCGCAACCTCAGATTTGGATGTAAGAAGAAGTCCCAGGGCCGCGAGAAACGTCCGTGAGGCTAGCACGGACGACGCTACTTTAGGTACTGTTCCACTGCGAAGTCCGACTTTTGTCCCGATATCCCCAACACGTTCTCTCAGAAGTTCGATACCTCCACCTTCAACGTCCGTTGTCAGTCCAACCTCGCCGACCTCGGCGACACGACCCCGAACACGCAGTACAACACAGCACTTGCGTTCACTCTCGGCCACAACTACAGGCCCCATGGTGGCACTTAACGAGGAGGACGAGCTCCTTTTACCAAGCGCCGAAGAAACTAGAAAGAGTCCTGGTACAATGAAAGTGAGATCCAATATGGCTGACAGCTCTGCTACACACAATCGACAAGCTTACGGCTTAGATGGCGTGATCCCAAGCACTCCCATCGCTGATGCAGCTAGAGGTGATGATGTACACAGCAATAGCGCTAGCACCAGACGACATCGTCATGAACGTCGCTCAATAGGTCTCGTTCATGAGTTACGGGATGGAACACAATGGGTGGATGTGGAAGAGACCGAGGTCGTCAGCGTCAGTGCTAGCGAGCAAACAGACGACTCTGGAGTTGAGGAAACGGAACAAGGTCTGACACTCTCTAAGGCAAACGACTCAGACGATGGTGAACAGGTCCAACGATCCACTGCAGGTGCCCGTAGCTTCACTGGTATACAGGACGAAGGCACAACTATTGATGAGACTACAGCACAAGGGGAAGCCCAGCCAGTCAGAATGAAAGGGTCCGCCAACAATACAACAGAACTTACACCAGCTAGGCGTGGCCGTGGTCGATCACGAAAGGAAGTTGAAACAGAGTCAGATGCTAGTCCAATGCAGACTCACGAAGAGCCACGAGTGACACCTGGCACACGTCCTCGAGGTCGACCACGCATGTCTCGAGCACAAAGACAAGCTTCGGCTGCTAGGAAGAGCATGACCGCCGTCAGTGAAGCAGGTGAAAGTAGCGAGGTTATTGCCACAAGAAGTATAGACAAGGATCGTGACGACGAAGACGATGTGAATGACAATGTCCATGAATTAAGGGATGGTGCTCGTTACCAGGACTGAGTCATGAAACTAGGCTGAGTGCTTGTCGTCTAAGATGTTTGAGTAATGTGTGGCTATGGCAGCAAGCCAATCATGCTGAGCCATCCTTATTGCTTTGTTTCGGCTCTCTTGCGTTATCTCCTCGTCTTAAGTCTGCTGACCACCGCTCAGGTGAGTCGAAAAGTAGGCGCGGATGAGTGACAAACGCCAACATGTCTACGAGTGTCAGCCACCAAGGCTTGATGGTACCATGTACACAATACCCACTGACAATCATGCTAATCGTCCGTTTCTGAACAGCAAACAGCAATACTGATACTCTAAAAGCAGCTCAATCCGTCAAAATCATGCAGGAGCATTCATCAAATTCAATGATTTTATATCCTGCTAGGCCCCTGGTCATCTCATTCTGGCACAAAGCCTTCCTACTACCTTCAGAGTCCAGGTCCACCAACCGAAACCTGAGTAGCACAGTACACCCCATTATTAAGATGAGCAACACAATCACACAACCCGACCCTACCGAAATCTACACCGACCTCCATCTCACCCAAGGCTCCCACCTCCGTCCTAACGAAACTACATGCAGTCTCTGCCACGATCCACTGACCCGCGACCATCAGTCAATCACCCACTCACCATGTAGACGAAGCTGGCATCAATACTGTTTCATTGAGTTCAACGCTGGCTCGAGGCTATGTCTCTACTGTAGAGTACCATACACGTTACGGCCAGGAGCACAACACCCAGCTCCTGCACTCTCCAGCCGACACGTCCCAACCACGATGCTCCCATTCAGCTCCTCACAAGCCCGCCGCACATTCCATCGCGTCCATGGTTCGATTCCGCGGCAGGAGCATTTAGAGCGGATCTATAGGGGTGCAGTGGAACGATATAACGATTCTGGTTCAGGAGGGGGCATGCCGGATTTGAAGTTCTTTGCGAATGCGGCGCAGAGAGCGTTGTCAAGGGCTGAGGGGCAGGAGCAGTGGATGGAGGAGCTTGGATGGAGGAGGCAAGGGGATCTGGCTGTTGAGGCGTGTTTGGGGAGGTTGTATGCTGGGGAGGACTATGCGCCGGGGGAGTTTAGCTGGGGACTTTGATAGGGGTGGGTGAGGGAGTAGGTAGCTTAGAAGGGTAGTTCACAGAACTAGACGGGAAATGGTAGCTGCACGACTAGTTGGAGACTACAGCAGACGCGCGTGGTAAGAACGGGATCGCTCGAAGAACATAACGAGCCAGAGGACTTTTTTGTGCTACAACGAATATTCATCATCTGCCCCGCAAAGCTCGTTGAGACTGCACAGTCGTTCCCCCTTTTTTTTTTTTTTTTTTTATTTTTAGTTGAAAAATATTAGT